TAATAAGATGACCCTAATAGAGCCAACAGATATAAAGTCAGTCTACGGTGTGATAAAATGCTACAAAAATTATTAGAAGTTCACATTTGATGTTTTTCAGGCTCTTTTATGAAAGAAACGAACCTGGTTTGTTGCTAAACATGAAAGGATGTTTATTCTAGCAATGAGTTCACATTTTCTTCAAAAAACTCCTCAAGATCTGGCTGTAAACATAAAAACCTGCAGCGAGGGAAAACTGTTTCCTCTTACACGAAATAGCCAATCGTAGTAGAGCCCTTCCAGCCAGTCAGAGGCGAGAAAAGCGGGACCTTCCTTGGACATCCTAGAATCCCAAATGACGTGTCCAGGAAACAGCAGAAAAAGTCTAAGCTAGTAGATGCTAACAATTAGCATTAGAAACACCACCACACAGCAAAACTCCTCCAGGCTTGTGTTATGTAAGTAGAAAAAACATCCATGTTTCAAAGCAAAGGGCGTCAGTGGTAGAGTCGAGTTGCTGTTAGCCAATCGGAGGAGAGATGTCCAAACATCAGGAAATAAGAGTCCAAAACCTGCCATCTGAACCTCAGCCGAGTACGTATTACAAGGCATTCATTCCACACCTTTAAAGAAATATCAGATAAGCAATGCCCAAAATCTTTGTTATGAGTTCATGTGTACTTTTTTGACAAAACCAGGTTTTCAAAATAATAAAATAATCAGTTACATAAGTATTAGGAGTAATGTAAACACTAATCTCCTTTTTTATTTTCCATTCACTCTGTCAATTTTTTACAATTCAGTGTACGCTTCTCTAATTGCCTCAACGACATGAATGATTGAGGTTTAATGATTTTCACAATCTTCGAACATTTTCTAATGTTATATTTTTGACCTCCCAGGATTTTCTGACCCTCTCAGCTCCACCAGAGCTCAGCCAAATGGCTGCTTGGTTTGAAAACAATGACAATTGGTTGCCTTTCATTTGTAAATGTAGGCAGTCACAGAACTGAGTGCAAATGAGTGCGTTTACATGCAGCCAGCAAGGGCGTCAGTTTGTTTCCAGAATTGCTGGGGACAATAACCATACACTTGAGTGGGGTTTAAAAATTGCTGGGGACAATAAATTAGGCTAGCATGGGGTCGGCGGCTCTGGAGCCGCATGCGGCTCTTCCATCCATCTGATGCGGCTCTGTGTTTGTAAAATAATGAATGGATATTTAAATAAAATGCTTTATATTTTACTGCATTAATTTTACATCTGTATGCCAATTCTAAATGTAAAGATTGTCTGCGTAAACCTGAACAGGTCCAACCCGGTCTTACTGTGAGACCGGGTTGACGCGTCACGCTTGTGCGTAATCGTATAGGCGCTTTATGAGCTGAAGAGGATGTGAGATTCTGGGATTCTCCTCAGACAGGCTCCTGGATGTGTCGCCACATTGGAGACGGGAACAAGCGCTATTCAGCCAAAGTTTCATCATCAGGGAACATTTTCTAAGTGACACGTCTCTCTGAGAGACCGGGTTTGGAAAACACTCGCTTCAGTGGGAGGAACCTTCCCACATGCGCTCTGGGTGGCTCTGGGGTTAATCAAGTTTGTTTCTCTTTGCAACAATCTTCACAAGAAGGCAAAACAGTTAAACGGCAGGTTACATATATTTCCATTCGACTGTTTATTTTGACAGATGAACTCAAGGATGTTGCTTGGTTTGAAAGAATTACCCCCACGCACACTGATGCACATGGATGAGCTGACATTTTAATCGTTAACGCACATCGTGGAGGTAAAAGATTCCCATCAGAACATCAGAGCTTTATACTGGACACTGTGTTCAGCGTGGCTCGGAGCGCCCATGGTGGACAGTGAGCTGAAGATCTAAGGGGTTCGCAGCGCAGCGCAGAACCATGGTGCATGCAATGATTTCCTCCCACTGAAGCGGTCTGGAAACCCGGTCTCTCTGAGGGATGTGTCACTTGGAAAAATGTTCTTTTTATGAAATTATGAAACTGGCTGAACAGCGCTTGTTCCCGTCTCTAATATGGAGACGCATGATGCGTAGAGACATTTGATCACGCACAAAGTTCGTGTGGAGCAGAAGCGGTCGGCCACGGCAGGTGGAATGTTCCTAGCCTACATGAAGGGAAACTGTTTAATTGTAACATTAATGTGTTACTGGACACGCTGGTCTGGTTGGTTAGACCAGTGTTTGAAGTGGAAAACACACACACACACACACGCACACCAATTAAAATATATGCTGATAGCATGGACTAGAAGCCAGGTGATGGTTTACGTATTTAAATGATGATCAGGCTGCTGTAAAATGTAATCTCCATCCACATCCAGACAGAATCATCCTCTATTCTGTCTCTATTTGCTCTGCTCTTGTCTGGGCTGATCAGCTGATGGTGCGCCTAACTAGCGGCTGATGCACATTTTACGCATTTGGAGAGGTGGGCTGGATGCTGTGCGTTTACTGGAAGATGGTCCACTTAACGCACGGGTGTAGACTACATATTAATGACAAATGAATGAAAATTAAATTGTGAGTTTTTACTTCATATTTTATAAATAAAAATGACGGGGGAAAACATTTATGATGTCTTTTTAAACAAAATTTTCTAGCGCGACCTGCCTGCTTCACTTAAGTCACTGCTTATTAAGGTCCGTCCAGAATTACTGTGGGAAACGGGTAATAATGGCTCTTTGATGGGAATAGGTTGCCGACCCCTGGATAAGATCTGAGCTGGTAAAACAAAAATCCTCATCAGCAGGCGTTTTTGAAAGTGGTTGTGGTGGTGGTGGTGGTGGTGGAGGTGGGGGGGGGGGGGGGGGGGGGGGGGAAACACAGCTGCCAATCACAAATTTTGCCGGGGACATGTCCCCGGCGTCCCCGGTTAAAATGACGCCTATGGCAGCCAGTAACCCTTTTAAAACCTGAATATTCACAATAACCCTGTTCCGCAGGTCCGTGTAAACACCGCCAGAAACCCGGATATGCTCATAACCGGGTTTTTAAAAACCCGGTTACTACACCTGGGGTAACCCTTTTCTAACCCGAATGTTTGGTCGTGTAAACGCATACCGGGATATCCCCATCAAAGCGTGTGTTCTGCGCATGCTCTGTTCGCAATGAATCTTGGTCTTTTGAGTAGCGAGACGTCTTGTATGCGCCAGAACACCGGAAGTGAACAACAATTTGGGAGCAACATGGCGAGTCGCGGCACAGCACCACACTTTTGGAGTGACGAGGAAACTAAAGCGCAAACACACACGGTTGCTATCTCTTCTGAACTGGGAAAAATGTTGTTGTTTTCACGGATACCGGAACGAGAAGAACTGGAAATGATGCATATTGCGTCTGGACGTAGTCCATACGTCCTGACGCTACCCCAACGTCCGCATTTACATCGGGTTATGCAAGTTAGAGGTAACTCTTTCTATTTATGCTTGTAAACGGGTTATTCTGATCAACTCAGAAACCCGAATACCGACCTTAACCCGATCATAACCCAGATATTGGCTGCATGTAAACGTAGTCAATGATGGCCTAAGTGTTGGAGGTCCATGAAAAGTCAGGCTGGCCTCCACTGGTCTATGTCTTGAATCTTGTCCACTCAAAAGAATTAGTGACCGACTACCTTTTCGAAGACTTAATTGAAGCCCACAAAGAAAAAAAGATTGTTTTTAAAAATAAAAACAAATCATGAGGCACAACAACAATAAAAATTGAAAAGATAAAAATGGGAAATAGTTGAAAAATTAAGATTTGAAAAATGAGAATAAAAAGAAAAAGATGTAGCATGAAAGCCTGAAAAATATGGAATTGGACATGTCCTGTGTCTCCCCAGTTCCATGTCTTTCCACTTTTCCCATGTCCTAACTTATAGTCATCCTCCTGTTGCAGCATTAGCCCAGCTATTCCCAGCCTTTTAGGGTTTTACTTGTCTTTAGTTTTCCCATTCTTCTTTTTGTGTAGTTTTGTATTTATGTGTCTTATTTATTTATTTATTTATTTATTTATTTATTTATTTATTTATTTATTTATTTATTTATTTATTTATTTAGCTTTCCTTTCTGTCTCTTTGGCCCAGCAGTGGTTAGAGCTGTTGCCTTGCAGCGAGAAGGTCCTGGGTTTGCTTCCCGGCCTGGGATCTTTCTGCATGGAGTTTCCATGTTCTCCCTGTGCATGCGTGGGTTCTCTTCGGGTACTCCAGCTTCCTCCCACAGTCCAAAAACATGACTGTTAGGTTGATTGGTCTGTCTAAATTATTCTCAGGTGTGTGTAAATAGAGGGACAGAAAACGCAATGATGCATAGGAAAAGCAGAGACATGGAAGAAACATGGGAGACATAGGACAGAGGACATGAACAATTCAACATTTTTCAGGATCCCATCCTAACCTTTTCTTTCATTTTTATTCTCATTTTTTAACCTTAATTCTTCATTTTATCTTCAATGTTTTTTATTATATTTTTACCTCTTTTATATTTGAATGGTTCTTTTGAAGCGACTCATGCTTTTTTTATTAAGCGTTATATAAAAATCCTTTCTTGTCCTTTGCTTCTGTGAAGTCTTTGGATGGACAAGTTCAGTTGACCAGATTCAAGACAGGAGCGAGACAAGTAGAGCCACAGGGCCAGCCTGAAAGACTGACAACCCCCAATCCCCAAGCACATTCCATTGGACATCATCTGTGGCTGGCTACATTTACATATGAAAGGAGCTAACGATCAGTGATTTAGTTGTTGTTATCAAACCAAGCAGTCATTTGACAAAGCTCTGGGAGAGCTGAGGGGGTAAGAAAATACTGGGAGTTCTAGTGTTAGCGTCTTTAGCGTCTTTTGTTATCCAATTCTTTTATTTTATTTGCTATCCGCCCACTGGTTGTTTTCCACTGCTTCATGTGGTGTTGTGGAATGTGGGCGGGATTGTGAACTGTGATAAATAAGGATAGTTCACTACATGCAGTCACTTTCTTCAAGAAGGTTTTACTCGAACAAACGAGACACAAAGATGCCTACTGCTGCCGAGGCTTTGGCTCTGCTGCAAAATATGGAACCTTGCGACTCAGATGGAGGAGAAGAGTCCTTTCTCTTGCAAGAGAGTTTGGACTCTGACATGTCTTCGAGTGACGAGATGTCTTCCGGGTCCGAAAGTAGGCCTCCTCCAAAGAAGAAAGGTCGGATGGAGACACAGACCAGACCAAATGATCCCAACTGTGAGACGGCTAAAGATGGCACGGTATGGGTTAAAGAAGAAGTGGGGAGGCCGCTCCCTCACAGCTACCTAGAGCCATACACATGTGATGGAGAGCCAACAGAAGAAGTCCGAAGTACTGTAAAAACTCGCTTGCAGAGCTTCTGTTGTTTGGTGAGTTTGGACATCCTTGACATCATAAGAAAGTGTACAACCGAGCATGGCCGCCGGAAGGAAGCAGGTTGGGACATGTCTGTCCATGAATTGATGGCGTTCATCTCCATCCTTCTTTGGAGGGGCGTGCTCAGAATTCCGTCGCTGGCTGATGCATGGTCAACAACACTAGGGTTCTCGCAAGTCAAAACCATTATGGCCCGAAACCGCTGCCAGGACATCATGAGACACCTAAGCTTTGATGAAAAAGACACACGCCCTCAACGAGTAGAAACCGACAAGTTTGCTCTAGTCTCAAACGTTTGGCAGATGTTTGTTGCTAACTGCATCAAGTCCTACGACCCAGGCCAGTACATCACTATCGACAAGCAACTCTTTCCAACAAAGTCTCACTGTCCTTTCCTGCAGTACATCGCTTCAAAGCCCGACAAGTTTGGAATCAAGTTCTGGGTTGCATATGACTTGAAATCCAAATACATGTGTAATGCCATGCCTTATCTTGGCAAGGACCTCAGTCGTCCCTCTGAGGAGACACGTTCTGAGGATGTAGCGATGAAGCTGATGGAACCATTCATGGACAAGGGCAGAACTGTTACAACTGACAACTACTTTACCTCATTATCACTTGCTCAACAACTGCTCAGCCGGAAAACTTCACTTGTTGGCACCATAAACAAGACTCGTCGAGAGTTACCACCATCAGCCAAACAATTGGACTGCAAGAAATTCACCACCCAGGTATGTTGCAGCCTTTTTCTCTTGTAGTGCTGTTTTTTTTCCTTTTCTTTTTTGTTGCAAGAGCTCCAATTTTGTTTCACTACTATCCTGTGTATAAAGTGCAATGACATTAATGTTATCTTTTATTTGTCTTAATCATCAGGTGTTTTCAACAACCGACACGACTCTCACAGTTTATGCGCCCAAGCGGAGGAAGACCATCTGCATCCTCAGCACCATGCATAGCACAGTTGAAATCAGGGATAACCATAAGATGAAGCCAAACACGGTCACTGACTACAATACCATGAAGTGTGGCGTGGACGTTATGGACCAGAAGGTTCGACAGTACACAGTGCGAGCAGCAACCCGGCGATGGCCAGTTGCTGTGTTTTTTAACATGATAGACATGGCAGCAATGAATGCTCACATGCTTTATCGAGCGTGCACTGGAGTGAAGGAGAGAAGGGTGGACTTCTTAGCAAATCTTGCAAAGGAACTTGCTGAGCAGTTTATGCAAGAAAAGATGGTGGAGAAGGAGAAGCTACTTTGTCAACAACCTGCCACACCATGCCCATGGAAAAGGGCCATGTGTCAGGTGACCATTCGGTGCAAAAAGAATCACGCAAATTCACGTTGTGTACACTGCCATAAGTATACTTGCGGGAAATGCAGACAGGAAACCAAGTGGCAGTGCCAGAAATGTGCCGACAAGTCAGATCATTGAAATGATACACACACGCACACACTTGTCTATTGTTTTCATTGTTTTTTTAATTCTATTTTTTGTGTACTTTTTTATTTTATTTTAGGTTTAATTGCTTTTTTATCCTATTGTATTTGTTTCTGCAGGCTGAGAACTGCCAACAAAATTTCACTGTGTGCACGCATAATGACAATAAAGCATTCCTATTCTCAAGTGATTAAGCATCCTAAATAATAACAACCCAGCCAAATGGCTGCTCTCTGAGTTCTAGTTTGTAATTTAACAGGATAAGTAAAAAATTAAAATCGAATGATATTTAAAACTGTTCAGGTACGACATGGCAAGTTAAAGTGTGAATATGACTGGCAATGACACCAAGATGGGGTCTTTTTACATTTTTACCCAAATCAACTTTTTTTTCCTGATAAGCTATATAAATACGTGTCTAATCATGCTGCAGACACGTGTAGTCAATAGTTTTGCACTTTAGTGGATTTTAGTAAAAATGTAATTTTCTGCCTAAAACTGTCAGTGTTGTGCTGTTGTCAGGTAAAAACTCTGCACTACATTTGAATTTAAATCTGCCATCGCTATTGGCTAAGAGGTACCCTAGAACGTTAGCTTGTACCATATGATGTCACAATGTCGTTGTGAGCCTGCGTGTGTGTGTATTTGTTAGCGGCTCTGCCCTCTCGGGCTGCCAGGCAACAGCATTTGTTGCATTTTTCAAACAGGAAGTGGGAGTTGAATAAGAATCTGGTAGGGGTGACTTGCTCTTTAACCTTAGTTAAAAAGTCATGAAGGATGCCAGTTGGTTTGGGTTAGTCAACCAGGCACACACACACACACACACACACACACACACACACACACACACACACACACACACACACACACACACACACACACACACACACACACACGTTTATCACAGTCAAAACAAGCCATCCAAGGCCCCTTATGACTCTGCTATGTTCACAGGATTCCAGAGAAAAGGGAAAATATTCATCCTTGATAAGAAGCTGGATTTTACGGGACAGCTATGAGCCTACGGTATCTTGTTGTGCTTTGCATTTGTTTTACTCTGAGAACATGTGATGTGGTGGAGCTGGTATCTGCTTTCCCATTACGACATGTGCTTATGTACCATGAGAACAGAATTCTCGCCTGTTGCTTGTGGAAAAAGAAAAGTACAAGGCTCAGAGATATGATGGGATGCAAAGGCCCTGATTTAATATATTAACACATCATATAATGTTAAAAACAAAAAAGGACATCAGATCAGAATCAGGAGGGTTTTATTGCCATATGTGCGAGAATCACAACATTAGGAAACAATAAAAAATAAATGACCCCTCTTTTTTACATTGTAAAACTGCTGGACTCTTGCTTTCTTGCTCATCTGTGCTGAAGGTCGCTGACAAAAGGAATTGTTCAAACGAGCCTTTAAAATCCTTAAATGGTTGTGGTCTGCTCACAATGGGCCGAAGAATGCAACGCTGGACAAAGGCCAGTCCAAGCCCCGCCATTCTGCCCTGCAGTGATAGATCCGAATGGACGCATGAACGTGGGCTGGATTTGAGGCCATGGAGGCATCACCTCGCCCCCCCACTGAGCCAACCCAAAAGGACAGGCCACAGGCATAAACTACAACCCCAGCTAAGGGCCTCAAAACAATCACGACCTGCTAACTAGCTTCACCATCCCTAGGCCTTGATTGATGTGGGAAACACATGCTTGCTCCTCCTTACAGCGCCCTCCTTCACTCCTTATTATCCTCAAAAGCTTAAAATCATTAGCATTTTTAAAAAGTACTTTTTACAAATCAGACTTGGGCAGCCATTAAAATCTGATTTCATGAACGCAACAGGTTTGCATTAGCGACAAAAGCCGGTTTTGTGAGTGTATTACACATCTCAACATGCCCCATAGGGACGTATGCTGTAACGAATGCTGGGAAAAAAATGAACGAAGGTGTGGAGAATTTATGGAGAAGTATTTTACTGAGCTGTTCAGCCCCTTAACCCTTTGATGCATAATGGTCACTACAGTGGACAGGTACTCAAAATTGTTATTTCTTTATTTTTGCTATTAAGCACAGCTGTTGAAGACTTTATTGCATTTGAGCCCCTCCATTTGGACTTCAGTAAGTCAAGCCAACATATTTCATGTTCAGAATGCATGCTGTCCACTGAGATGGACATGTAATAAATTATTTGTAAATTAACAAAATGTTACAAAAAATATTTGTTGAAATTTGTTTCATTCACACCTAAAGATGAATGAAAAAAATTGTTTGAAAAATCTTGGTTGAAGATCTCATAATTCATGCATCAGAGGGTTAAGGATAGAAGTGCTTAGAAACATGCTTTGATTAGTATGATTCAAAGACTACGCTAGAGCTTTAACATTGATCTCAGTGATTGCAGAGTTAGAAACTTGACCAGTTTCCTTTTTGACATCACTCTGCAACCCTCTGCTGCCCAAAAACCACGCTTGATGCAGATTTGTGGGGCGTGTAGGTGCCCCGGCTGCCCTGTTGCTGGTCGATGAGTCCGAACTTGTTGCTTTTCACTACTGTAAAATTTTCTATTTTTCATTTTGATCAGTTATATTACACAACTATGGTTAAAGGCTCCCTTGGATCGCAGCTGTAATGTGACCAAACATCACCTTCCAGAGTAGCTAGTGCGGGTGCACTGACGGACAACACAAATTCTCCTGCTACACATCTATGGGATGACAATTTTGATTGTTTCACCAGAAAAACCAGCATATGAAACGTTTACCTCTCATCCGGACATTTACATTCACTCACACCACAAGCAGGAAAGCCGATAATGTCCGTTAAGCAGAGCTGCGGCAGAAACAAGTCGTCATCGATGCTCCAGTCTTGGGTCTTTCATATGGATCAAAAAAGTTTATAATGCCGATTTGTGTCCATGTACTGGTCCCTCACGTCTTTTTTTAAATACATATCCCTTTATTCTGCTTCCTTTTTGGGATTTTGACTTGTTGTTCAATACTTTCTTTCACCCAAATCCCTCTCTGAGTCGTACTGTTTGTTTACACACGTAAGGCTGCTAACATGTCTGCGCACATCCCAGAATGCTATGTGAAAGCACGTGTGATCACAAGCCCTATAGGTGCACTCTTGACATGCTTAACAGCTGTTAGTTGTAATGCTAGCGGTTAGCATTTTCAGTTCTCCGATCATCACAAAGGGCACAAAGCAGAGCAAAGGGAATCCCAGGGTGTTTAACACCAGCAGCAGCATCGTTTCACCACCAGGCTAAAGGCCAAAGGTGACATCTGCTGCTGTGGCCCCCAGACTCTGGAACTCTCTCCCCCTGAGCCTGAGATCAGTGGACTCAGTGGTCTCCTTTAAACTCACCTGTTCAGGCTTTGGTGTGACCCTCATCACCACCCTCTCCCTATTCTGCCTTTCCTGGGATCCACTGATTTCTCTCTTTCCTATTCACTTTCTCTCTCCCATTCTTTACATTTTTTAATCACAATTTTTAACTTTTTTCTCATTTAAACCATATTTCTAATAATTTAAAAAGAAATCGTTTTTATACTTTAACATTTTAGTTCTTGTGAAGCGCCCCCTGATTTTTATCTTGAAAGGCACTGTACTGTATAAAAGTTCCTTCCTTCCTTCCTTCCTTCCTTCCTTCCTTCCTTCCTTCCTTCCTTCCTTCCTTCCTTCCTTCCTTCCTTCCTTCCTTCCTTCCTTCCTTCCTTCCTTCCTTCCTTCCTTCCTTCCTTCCTTCCTTCCTTCCTTCCTTCCTTCCTTCCTTCCTTCCTTCCTTCCTTCCTTCCTTCCTTCCTTCCTTCCTTCCTTCCTTCCTTCCTTCCTTCCTTCCTTCCTTCCTTCCTTCCTTCCTTCCTTCCTTCCTTCCTTCCTTCCTTCCTTCCTTCCTTCCTTCCTTCCTTCCTTCCTTCCTTCCTTCCTTCCTTCCTTCCTTCCTTCCTTCCTTCCTTCCTTCCTTCCTTCCTTCCTTCCTTCCTTCCTTCCAAGAAAACGAAAAAGTGTGCCTTCATTACGGTGAAGACTGGAGGTAAAAGTAAGAGAGTAATGTTCTTGGAGGCAAAGCAAAGAGTTAAAACACGACATTCTAACTATCGAGGACAGAAAGTAGTCCCACAGCAGCAGCTGTCCACATTCAGTGACCCAACCTTCACACGTTTGCCTCTATTGAGGGAATGCAAATCTTTACTCTTCTTGATTCTAACAAAACAAGAACTGAACAAATGTTGGCCACTTCTTCAACAGGTGCCACTAAGCCTGTTTGTGATTGTGTCGGTTAAGTCACCGAGTTGCTCAACCAAAAATGTTTATGTTTTCAAGCTCCTGCTTCATCAAAACAATCTGTTAACTTTGCTCTAATTTTTTTGGCCAGATTTATTGTTTCCACATTTAAGACACAATGATTTTACCACTAAAGGATTCCACAAGCCTGAAGCTAGTTTCTAAGAAATGAAAAGGAGTGTGTGACTTACAGCTGCCCTGTGAAGGAGGACAAAGAGTACTGATCAGGAATGGTATTATGACTCAGTCTGTGCACAAAGATTGCTGTTTGGGTGACAAAGACACGTGACTAGTGTTTGTTTGCCTCAGAAAGCTGTGGTTTAATGAAAAATATGAGAAAATACAATTAAGGCTATACATTTTTAATGCATTTAAGAGAGTCAATGACCTCTTGATGAATAATATTGCAAAATATAGACCATTTAAACATTTCTGGTAAACATTTGCTTCAACTCTAAGCCCAAATTCCTGCAAAGCCTCTATGTGTGCCCCATCCCATTTCATTATCTTAATTTAACATATTCCAACTGGCGCGGGCACTATTTAATCTGTCTTTCTCTTTCACTTTCTATATTCAGTTTAAATAGTGGGCTGTAAATGTTAAATACACAGTAACATGTTGCTTTACTTGATGTGAAATGATAAGATAGGGAAGGAACAAAGAGAAGCTGTGGTAATAATTTAATTATGATTGCTTCAAAGTAGCAAGAGTCTGTCACTTATTAATTTTCTATATTTTTTGTGTACTGTACTGTCTGTCATCATGAAGAAAGAAATGGAGTATACCATGGATGGAATAATAAATTATCAGCACAAAACAATATAAAAACACAGTTATTAAAGCAATACACAAGTCGCTATACCACTGAAATTAGGAATGCCATTGTTTGGCTTCTTG